TTTGTCAGCAAAGCTATATAATGGGAAAAATGACGGAGAGGACCCTGCACACAGTGTCTGCGTCTGAAGCGCAAAAGTAGGACAATATTTCAGCTTGAGGGAGATGCTCAGCAGATTGAAACATTTTTTTGGCTGGAATCTGCAGACACTATGCAAGGTCCATTCTTTGTGCATTAAAGTCAAATTTCTAGGATACACATTCAATTCAGTGGTGCTGGTAGCAACAACAGATCCCTCGTGCAGGTTTTGGTTGTTCACATTAACCAAACAATGATTGTGATGTGAGGGTCAATCTTAAATGTGATTTTTCTGAGCAGCGGTGAGATGACAGTCCTGCATCTGTTTGTTTTTGTTTTATTATCTCTTGTGTAGAGGGTGACCCTGTGGTGTGAGCGGACACCCTGCTTCTGGGGGGATTAGTGGGAAAATATAGACATACAGACCATCAGGGATTTATTAATGGAGACTGTTTCCCTCCACAATGCCCTGATTCATTTATGACGTCCTGCGCCGTGAGAGACGATGAGGTAATTTTATGGATTCTTTCAGGGCGGACGTCACATTTGAATGCTGAGAACATGCGGTCATCCTCCGCCCTGCCACCCCTGTGGAAACAGTGGCTAAGTCCCACACACACAAACATACACACGCACGCACGCACACATCTATATATAGATACAGGACCACTGTAGGATTCACACGGTCGAGCCTCCTTCAGTTCCTAAAATTTAAGCACTGAGTACTGGCATAATTTATAGCTCACACAGAGTAAGAACAGGGCTCTCTGTATATATGTGTGTGTGTGTTGGTGGTATGACAAGGAAGGTCACTGACCTCTGTGACTTGGCTAAAATCCCCATGGGCCTAATTCAGCATTGGAATGGACCCCACAGCGCAATGGGAAGATGCCTCCAACATAATGAACACAAAGGCCAATTGTGACGCTATTCTCTGCAGGGCAGAAAGCAGCGGGCCCCAGGGACAGTAGAGGGTTTTGTTGGCTGAAACGGAGAAGGAAGCCTGTTGCTTCAACAAGCCTCTGATAAGATTCATCAGTGGTGACTCAACGGTGTTAGTTTGTCTCCCAGGGCGCAAAGTGTTAGATTTACATCCACTGTGTTTATCTGCTCTTGTTGACTGAAGTGCTGATAAGTGACCCTCGTAGGCCAAATCATTGTCCTCTAGGTGTTATAGCATCTCCTTAAATATTATACAAAGTCTCTCATGTACAGGAGGACAAACAAGAGTCTCTCGTGTAATTGTGATCATGTCTTTTCAGAGGTTGTACAGTGTCTGTTGTGTCCTGAGAGTCTGACTGAGAATCTTGTGTGCTGTCAGTATTTTGTTTTACTGTTATATCTAACAAAACACATAGGGGCTTCATGGAGGCTCAGTGCTGGCTGCATACCAAAGATTAAAAAAACATAACATCATAGTGTTGTATGTGCTACATATATGATGATTGTGAATTTCTATAGGTTGAGAAATTTCACCCAATTCCTGAGATAAACAAACCATTTGAAAACAATTTGGATTATTTGAAAAATTCATTAACACAAAACTGAAAACACACCTGTTCTTCTTATGAAAAGTTAATGTTTTGGAGATACAGTACATGGTTTCAACAGGACAGTGACAATAGCAAGCACACAGGCTTACTGTGCATGCATCTGAAATTACACACACAGTGAGATTACACATGAAAGTGTCATTAAAATATTGTTAAATCCTGACTGGTGCACAGAAATACTATACTGTATATATGGTCATTAGTCCCACCCACTCAAATCAGCGAGAAGAGGTCAGATGAAACAAAAAAATTCATAACATCTCTAATGTGAAACAATCAAAACTGTTCAAACTTTGGAAGAATATTCTGTGTTCACGCAGGATCCAACTGCTCAGAGTAAGAACCTGATTGTGAAAAGGTCTTCGGTATGTCTTTGTAAGCAAACAGAGCGCGATCTACCTGTTTTCTGAATCTACACCCATCATGCACTTGTAAATGACTTTATGGTTCGACACATAGAAAACCAACGAGGTGGAACCAGTATCGTTTTGGTTAATGTCCAGCTGAGGATGCTTTAAAGCAGCTGTTTGGTGTCGGGCAGGAAGGCCATGTGTGTTAATCTACTTCCAAAAATCTCTGCCTCTCCCAGAACCTCAACCTGCAGCTCGATCACAGAGGAGACAGAAAGACGAACACAAAGCGGAACACAAAGCCGGTGCCGCCAACAAGAAGGCAAACAAATGCTTACACTGCTGCTCCTGCCAAAAAACACCCATCCCCACAATTTATTGCTCTTTTCTAAGACTTATTCAAGGTTTTCATCATATACCGACCGGCCACGCCTCCCCCGCCAAAAACCCCAAATCTGTCTGTGTGATGAGGTGGGGGATTAAAAAAATGAAGCAACAAGATTGGCCCTTTCTTTTTCTTAAGAAAGACTAGAAATGAAGCTTTGTGCACGTCTGCTGCCGTGGCACATTTGACAGGTCTGGTCCGGCTGCTTTTGTGTCACCAGCATAAAGGGGATTGAGGGAGAACACAAACTGAACCACTGTGCCGTTGTGGCGCTGGCTATTAGTCAATGTGACGGCCTTTGCAGATGCTAATGGTGTATAGTGTGTCCCGGCCGGCCTCCCTCCTCCCAGAACGTGGCTATCTGATTGCACAAAGGCCTTCTGCTGGAGGTTGACTTTTCCCCCTTTCTTTTCACGCCTGCTACAAAGTCATTAGGCTTTTTTTTTACTCCTTTTCTCTTGTTTTCAGGAAAACAGGGGAATATTGTAGACACACAGAAAGCAGCAAGTTGATGTGAGGCAGATATCTTCATGTGTAAAGCCTCAGGTGATCATAGTAAGGACTATACACCTCCCCCCACCCCCCGTATTCCTCCCTCCTTGCTGTGCTGCCCTTTGAGCAATGTGGAGATGCTGCAACAACCAGGCTCCTGTGAAAGAAAAGAGGATGCCCAGGAGTGTAGGACCTCTGGACTCTGACTTATTAATCAGTCAGGCCCTCGGCTGCCTGCCTGCCTCAGGCTGCATCATGTCTTCAGCCTGCTCTGGGATGAGATAACAGCCTGCAGAGTTAAATACTCAGAGGGTTTGCCCAGACCTGGAGCTGAAGCCTCAGCACGTCAGCACACAGGTCACTGCATCCAGCAGCAACCTGCTGCAGGATACATAATGGTAACACACGTACATTTAACACAACTCTCCAAGGATGAGAGCGAAACAATGCATCAGAGCTGATTCTTTTTTCCTTCTTATCTCAGATTCTCAAAGGCTGTAAAGGTTAAAGTAAAGGGAGATGAATTCTGTTCAAGGCAACAATGCAAACAGGATTTGGAGATAACCAGTATTGGGAAGTAACTAAGTAAATTTACTCAAGTACTGTACTTCAAAACTAATATTAGCTACTTGTGTATTTCTGTGTTATTCTTCATCTACTCCACTACAATTCAGAGGGAAATATAATTTGTTCTCCAATGCATAATTCCAACAGCTATAGTTACTAGTTCTTTAACAAATGAAGATATTACATACAAAACATATGATGAGCTTATAAAATATAATGCACTGTTATACAATAAACTACCACACAATGTGTAAAATACAGCAGTAATAAAACAGCAAAATGCTGCCTGCACATTAATGCAAGTTATAATGATCCAGACATAATTATGTAACTTTCAACTTCATGTTGGCACCAGGGGAACGCCACATCCAGGGAACATAAATGTCTCTACAAAATCCAATAGTTGTCAAAATATTTCAGTCTTGACCAAAGCAGTGGACTGACCAGAAGACACTATCAACATGGCAGAAAAGCAAAAACTGCTAATACTGAGCTGGATGACAATGCACCCAACAGCAAAGCGACTTCCACTGTTGTACAGATTGGTTCAACCGTAACAGGACAAGCTGGCGCGTCATGAAAAATCTTTTTTTTTTTTTTTTTTTTATTTATGTCAATTTTATTTGCACTTTTTTATTTTAAACACAAATTTAATAAATAAAGCACATCTGATGGGGTACACCATGCAAACATTACTCTCTACAACATAAAACATTTGTTTGAACCAACTCACCGATTTTCTGTTACACAAGCGGCTCACTCTGCATACACGTGCTTAACTTTAGCTGTACAGAATGCACGGCATATTATTTATATAGACCCATGTGTCCTTATACACATATGAATGAACGAATGGATAGGGTTAACAGAGTCTCTCACTCCCTTTTGTCAAATATATGACAGTTTAGTTTTTTTAAGCTAGGAAGAGTGAGTGGATGTCTCCATGGGTGATGGAAAGAGTCATAATGGTCCAAATGAGGGAGGTGCAAAGAGTGGTGCAATGTGAGATAAGAAGACAGTGGAAGATGAGAGTGAGGAAGAAGCACAAGATTGAGAATCATCCGGCCCTGGACAGTAACAGGTGGAAGTATCAGTGAGTCGACGAAAGCAATATACATTTTTGATTTAAAATCACCCACCAGCATGTTGTATTTTTCCTTTTTTCTTGACTGTTAGGACTATTTCTGTACATTTTCCTTGTTTTTGGGGTGTTTGATCTCATCCCAGAAGCAGCAAGAGGTGTAAGATCTTAATGACGATTCAATCACAGAGTGGATAAGTACACAGACTGAAGTGTCCTGCCAAATAAACAAATGACATGAAACCTGATGCAGCTTGCAAACACATCAATGACATCATCCTCCTCCTCCTGTGTAGCTGGACCAACTGATCAGGATGGATTGGATGCAAGACAAAAAGGGAGACATGGGGTGTCACAACTGACAAATATTGTAATAGCGTTTCAAAATCTAATGAGATCTATCTATAAATTGGTAGCTGATGTATTTTTTTAACCATGATCATGACATTTTTTAACTGACAATGTAATATGGATGTTGAGTAATGACATCATATACCCTATAAATAGGTATAACAATGTAATATATTCATATGTATGATCACATAATCAGTTAAAAACTGTAGTAATTGGTTTAATCATGTGTCTAAATGCTCTACAAACATCCTGAATTTGTTTAATTACATTTTTATCTATTAAGAGGGTATCCTATTCTTCCATTTGGAAGTTTTACTATTGAATTGTCAGTTGAAACACAGGCAGAGAATATAGTAGATGAAATGTTAATGTACAATGATGGAGCTTTACACACAGACTCGCAGAGACAAAACGTGAGTTAGAGGCATGGCCAGAGCATTATGTGCATTTGGCAGACATACAAACACAGGATTTGTCAAATTCACCCCATGTTAGACCAAAATAATGAGAAATTACATCTTTACATAATATTATTTCCAACACCTTCAGAGCTGAGAAGAAGCTGGATGTTGAACCAGGTTGTTACTTTCAATTCTTACAGATTCAAGGTGAGAACATCTGCTGGAACTAAAGTCTTATTTAGGGTTACATGTAGAGTAAATGGAGAATACAGGTTTAGCTTGGAGGGATAACTTAAGTGCTTTGGATCCTAAGTGCAACAAAAAAATTAATTTGAACTTTAAAGAGAGGCAAGTTCTGAGTCTACCAGCTGGGTGACTTGGTGAGCACCAGGTGAGATAAAGGGATGAAATTCAAGGCTATTTCACCCATCAGGACCAGTGACAGTGTTGTGCATTTCTCTGTACACAGATCAGTGATTGCACACACTCGTAGAATCACATATACACAAATACCAAAGGCCAGGAGAAAAAAAAAAAAAAATCTAATAAAAAAAAAGAAAGTGGGGAGATGAAAATGTACACAAGCCTTATTTATTGAAAATGCTGTGCAAGCTTCTCATTTTCCTCCTGATCTGACTGTTTGTTTGGGCTCCTGTGCAGAAGTCCCCCTCATGACGCAGGACAGCAAGAAGACAGAAGAAAAAAAAAAAAAAAAAGAAAATCAAAGAAAGCTTGAAAACTGTTCCTCCATCTTATCCTTCAGGTCCAGGTCCATCTTCCATCTTTGTCGGGTGGGGGGGTGTGGGGGTGTGGGGGGGACGACGACAGGAAGGCAAGTCGGGACATTAAAATCAGGTGGTGGCATGGTGAGGCAGGGCAAGGAGGTGATGACGGTCATTTACAGATTTACTTGTCTTTGTTCAGTGCATCTCTCTGCTGTGATCCAAACATGTACTTTCAATAGTTCTGTAAAGAGGAAGGAAACTCAAATCAGATATACATACAGTTACCATTTACCCTGTTGATTGCCCTGATTCTGTGTTAACCTTTACTATATTTTCACGACATAACTGAATAATAAGTCGGTGCTTTGGTTATTACGGATGATGATTTTGATACATGTAGCTGGTAAGACAGACAGAGGCAAATACCTACTTATTTCTCCTTGTGAAGAGCTTCTATGAAGGCTTCAAGTTTCTCCTGGATCTCACGAACTTTCTCTGCAGAGAAACACACAAAGTCAGTTGGTTGGTCAAAAATACGCAGAATATTGACACACCCACACAAAAAAAATACCAACACATTGTTAGAGCTGAAACAATGTCAATCAGTTGATCAGTCACCAAACAAAAAATTGATTCTTAATTACGTTGAAATGAAGAAAAGCCAACAATTCACTGGTTCCAGTTTCATGAATACGAAGATTTGCTGCAGCGATTGCATTGCTGATAATAGTTATTAGATATAAGAAAAAGAACGTGAGAATTTTCTGTTCTAAATAATTGTTAACTGATCATCTTTTGATTTTAGACTACTGGGTGAACAAATCAAGACATTCAAAGACATCAGTTGGGCCAATGGGCATTTTTTCTGGTGTTTAAAAGACTGAATAGATTTAATGGACAGAATTGTTAACTTAGCCCTAAACATTTCCAACAACCGCTGAAATCTTTTTCATCATCAGCATGGGTAGCTGGTTATAAATCATTGATCCAGTGAATTTCTGCAGGTAGAAATTCCCTCACTTTTTCACTAAAACACCAGATGGTCCCCTCTGACTGTGACAGCCAAACCTCAAGGCAGACCTCCTTCACACATCTGATGATGAAGAAGTGGGTACCCTCTCCCAGTTAGCACAGACCACATCAAAGCTCTCACCATTCCCTTTTCATGGTATGTACCTCCCGGGCACATTGCTAATGGACAGAGGGAGATGCCATAACAACAACATTTCACATGAAAGGAGGGAATCTACTGGAAAAACAGTCAGTCAACTTCTTTTCATGAGTACACTTCTATTGTCCAGAGACTGCATAAGACCAGCAATCCTTCCACCCAACATGTACTGTCACACGAGATGAGCGAGTCATCGAAAGCAGTCTTAATCGCTGATTAAACAGAGGCTGAAGGAGGTCTGTGGGCCAACGCAGAGAAAAGGAAGCCACAGCTCCCAATGCCAGCTGCACCTCCAGGCCTGGATGGCTCTCCAGCTTCCCTGTCGCCCTCACTAATCTGTCTGGATCTCCCCCAAGCACAAACTCAAACACTGGCTCTGAAGAACAAACTAGCACTGCTGTATCTTGATCAATCAGCCCCACGAGATCCATAGGCAACCTATTGTCGACTGTTTTCCTACATGGAGGCCCAATGAAAACACAGCTTTAAAAAGACTTGTCCATTTTCAGAGAGATAAATCATTGTGGTTTGGACCACAGAGCAACGGTGTCCTAAGTGTCCATTTCAGATCGGCACAAAGGTGATAACTGCATGCGTGCTTTGGAGTGAAACTAAATCTTGTACTCAGGGGCTTGTGTGCAGCCCCTTTGATGGGAGCACGGCTGCTGAGGTATCCTTTTCCTGACGGATGAAAAGCAAATGGTTGTTAGGAGAGATGCAGGCACACCCCCACACACGTCCAGAAACACTAGCAGACCTGAGAAGTGGATAACACAAGAGGAGTGCTCTCTCTCACTCACACACACTCTCACACACACACACACACACACACACACACACACACACACACACACACACACACACACACAGGTAAAAATTGACTGACAGCCAGAAAAGCTTGGCCATGAATGGCGCACACACACACAACCACCTCAATTACTTGAAAACCAGCGAGAGCTGTGCAGTCATGCCACCTCCACCTCTTTTCACCTTCCTACACACTCACCGCTGGCAGGTGGTAAAAAAAAAAAAAAAAAAAGAAAAAAAAAATCCCCGGCCTTTGATACTCTGTTAACACACTCAGGCAAAATGGCAGGGCGTTAGTGGGAGATTACAACACCTAATGGAGGCATTAAGGGGGCCTGTCGAGGGGCACGCTGACAAGTCACTGCAGCAGGTGTGGGGTTGAATGAAACATAACCCTGCGGTACACCATTCCAACACACAGCCCACCGCAGGGCACAGCTCAAAGGCAACTGACAGAGTTCAGTCGTGTGGGCTGTGTGCCCTGACCACAGGACAACATACCTCAATCCAAGCCAATCAGAGAAGGATTACCAACATCTGTCTGACCCGAAGAAAAAGAGACATGAGGTGTAAGGGTGTGGAGTTCTGGTTGGTGTGTGGAAAGGAAGGTACTGACTGTCAGATCATGAAAACCTGGGAAATCCCCTGGCTCAAGCTTCAAAGCCTATAACTGGGTTTAGATGTGGCTGATGATGCTCTAAGGAGCCTCAGTGTTTCAGATGCAGACACGGGTCAAACACTGACAACTGTCGGGCAGAGACACTGAGATCTGCTAGATCAGCAGGGGCCGCAGTGGTCTAGAGGTTCGTTTGTAGGGCTTGTGATAAGAAAAGACATTGGTTTGAATCCTCAGATTGGCTGGGCAAGCTAATCACCCTCCTTTTCTTTAACACCGGCTGTGGCTGTTGACGCAACTGAGACCCACCACTGATCCCTAACCTTAACTCCGTGGGCTCTACAATCTGTACAGCATGCAATACCCGCTACACATAGACCTTTGTTGAGTAGTAGGCTTTTATTATTAGGTCCACATGATCAATTTTCTCCTTTCTTTTGGCTGTCAGATGGTGGACAGACAATTAACCAAGATGCAGGTGTATTTAGTGCTTAAGCTTAGCAGCATTCAGGATTCACTTGGTTGATCTACTGTTGGAGTGAGAGAGCGCCTACACCGGGTTGTCAACTTGTCTCCTCCTAACTCTTGAGTGAACCTCCAGATTTGTTTGATTTTGGACAAACCACAGACAACAAAACTTGAAGACAATGTTGAGGAAGGCTGTTTCGGACTGGCTGCTCATGGGGCCTCTGCTTTAGCTAGCTGCCGATGCCTTCTCAAGGTAAGCCTCAAACAACCCACCGACAGCCAGCTTTCACTTTCTGTCCTTTAAGTCTTTACTATTTTCTTTCTTCATGTCATTCTCATGACATTATATACATTAAAAACAAAATATATTCAGCAACTGATAAGTATAATTAATTGGCAGAGAGTGTAGAATGAGTGTAGGGTGAAGAATGTCAATCAGTGAAAATGTCAAACTTCCGCTTGGAAGTCCCGACCTGTGCGTCAGAATGAGGATAAAATGACCAGCTATCTATCCAGATAGAAATTGCAGCTAAAGGTTTACTTGCACCTGACTCCCTGCATTGAAGTTTCACCATGAGATGAGATAAGATGGGATAAATGAGAACAGCAAGGCCCATCAACCATTCCCTTACAGCAGGATGCTTAATGACTTAAAAATGAGCCCTCAGCAGCTTTCAGGAGCCCAGGAGGCCACGGGTGAATGTGAATGGCATCTTTCAGAAAAGCCAATATTCTATGGATAAAAACTGTGAGAAACAGATATTTATTTCCACCAGCACCATCTGTTTGCCACCAAAAAACAGCAGCAAGAGGAAGAAAAGGCCACAACAAGGCTTTCTTTCGTTCTGTGGAAATGCAACAAAAAAAAAAACAAAAAAAACAGTGGACAGAGTCACTATGGCCTGTTCCTCTCTGAGCAGTGGGAGTAGCGATCTAAAACTCCATTTAGGCTCCTGTTTACCTAAGAGATGAGCCCCAAAACACAGTCATTCAACCGCTCACCCCTTTATCTGGTCATGAATATTCCCATAATCCTCTGGCCTCTATCCCAGAGGCCCCCTCTTTAAGATGCTGGGTGTTGTGTGGGTTGCCGAGGGTGGAGGGACTCTCGCCCATTCAGAGAAAGAGAGGGGAGCCTTTTCCCCCAATCCCCTCATTCAAGGCCTTCTCTCGGCTGATCTCCACATGAAATGATATCTCATTCACTCTCACTCTGTAGAGTCTCCTAAGCCTGCTACGGCCGAAGCGCTGGCAGAAGGAGGGCTGAGCCAGAAAGCCTTTAATTGACCTGTAATTAGACTGTGAAACTGCGTGGCCCTGCTGGACAAGTAGCCACCACAGAGGAGAGGGAGAACAGAGGAGAGAAACAGATGAGAGGGAGGCCTGCAACTTACTGTGAGATAGAAAAAAACAACTAATCCTCTTCCTGTGGGAGATGGCTACTCTTCTTCACTGGATGTGAAACGAAGGGGACCATAAAGAAAGGGTGAATGTTATGAAGATGTGGCAAGAGAAAGATTTCAGTGGATGAAGTTTGGTGCCACGGTTGAGGCTCCTTTAGCATGGTACTCTGAAATTTTGTACTGACAAGAGGGCAGCAGTTCACTGTATGGTCACTAGAGAGAGGGGTGGAGGGTTTAGTTCCTGTCCCACCCTGTCATCATTCATGAAGAGACTTTTTATATCTCATGACTGCCAAGGTCACAGTGTAGGTGGGGACACTGAATGTTTAAACGGTCTGCTGTTTCCTTCTTTGAAAGATGATCTCTTAATGTAACAAACAGAAAAGCCTTTTTCCGCAGCATGCTGCTTGATTTGTCACTAAATCTGGATTGTCACGCTATAAAAACTGGGCCATGGGAGACATAGACACAGGGAGATCTGTAACGTCGACGGCCCAAACGCCATGTCAGTGACAGAGCAATGAATCAGCCCTCATACTCACGGCTCTTATCTAGAAAACAGATGCCTGGGAGAGAGCAACCCAACCTGGGGAAAGACATACGAAGGTCTAAATAGGTCAAAAGCCTGGGGTCAGCCAGAGGGCAGACTAAACAAAAACAAAAAGTAAAATGCAGGAAAAATCTTTTTGGAAGAGCCGGGCGAAGCGCAGGTCTTATTGACAAGCATGGCTTGTGCCTTTGAAGGGCCAAACATTGAACATTTTAGTGCAGGGGGTTGTTAAGATGAGGATAGTGATGAGAAAATTTGAGAGACGGAGGGTTTAGCTTGAGGCCTGAGGCATTTCACTGAGAAAAGAGAGACAACAGTAATTGTAAATAATACAAAAGAATAGAACAAAGACTAACTAGAACTTATCATCTAAATACAGCAGTAAACAAGTCACCATCATTTCCCCATACCATTCTTAAAAATGAACAGGTCTGAGTGAGCCTACTTATGCGTGTAAATCACAGCAACTCAGGGGTCTGA